AAGGCTCACTAGTTTCACCTGCTTTTATTGCTAAACATTCTAAAAAAAAGTCCTGAATCTCTGCCAGAACTTTTACACACAAATTTTCTAAGTGGTCTTCAAGAGTTGCTGGTGAGTCTTTATACCAAAAGGCTTCACAAAAATTACATGTCGCATTCCAATGACCTTTTGAAATTTGTTTTCCTTGTTGAATATATGTTTCCCAAACTATTGATTTAGGTTTTCCACTAACTTTTCGTTTAAGCAATGAAGTATCATCAGTTAAAGTACTTGAATTAGCCTCTATTTTGTAAGACGTGAATGCATTAATGTTTGTCTTACCAATAATGTTATATATTTGATTTCATGTGAATAATTAAGTTTCAGAGAATTTTAATTAATTCGGATTGAATTTCAGATTTGAGCAGTATCGGACTCAATCGAACATTTCGGAAATTTTTTGTTGAGGCGTAACTAATATCGCCTAGATTTCGAATTCAGATCAGACGTAATTATCAGGTTTCGCCTGAACCTTTAAAGCAGACAAATTTGCCTGCGAACCTCTACAGTTTAAGGGATAAATATCTCTGTATTTTCTTTGAGTCTCAGCACTGACGAGATAATAATCTTTTAGGTACTGGAATTATATATATTATATTAATAAAGGAGTATAATTAATCAAGTATAAAACTTATCCTTCACAAACCCTTTGAAACTGTTATACATTATTAGTAATCCTTTACATTCATGCAATCCCTTTTATTAGTTAACTTATTATATGATATTGTATTAATTTGCTGTATTGACTTGGAGTCTCTGAAGTGAAATCTCTAAAATATCTTTGAGTTATCTTTGTGTTTATTTTGTATTTATATTACGTGTTTATTATTGAGAATAATTCTTCGACGTTATTGTGAATCCTCACCCGTGATTCCTTGAGTAATTGTTTTAGTTTTATTTACCCTTTTGAGATTTTATTTGAAGCTACGAAAACTAACGAATATTTTGGTACTCCTTATAAGGATCAGAAATAATAATTCAATATGATTTATATGAGTATTCAAGAATTGTTAAGATTAGAAAAGAATATCAACAATACAACCAACCACCTGAAAGAAATTGACATTGAAATCCTTCTAGTAACTAGTGAATTACAACAACAATTGGATACCTTCACTGAACTTCTTAGCTATCTATATCTATCCTGATGTTAGAGAAGGAATTAGAGAATTAGTTACTCATAAAAGAAGTAAATTACCACTTGACGTAATTTATTTAGTCAAACAGGAAGTTAAGAAAGAATTGAAAGCTCTCAATATCTACTTATTCAACCTACATAAAGACAGGAATAATCTGTTAGAAATCAGAAGAGATTTACTAAATCAGCTTAGAGATTTATACTAGTACATGAATTGTGACCTATATAGTAAAATAAGGAAACAACACTTAGATGACTATTTTAAATATTTAAGACAAACACATCTCATAAAATCCTTTGATAAGTCTTGTAGAATTTGTCATCAACCATCTGGAAATCCAAGTATTCAATTTCAAAGATTTTATCAGTGAATTCACCAACAATATCATGCATATATATATTCATCTCTAAGTGAACAATACTTTGAAGAAATAGGACAGTATTTTGACATTAATAATCCTTGTAGTCTTGACACTTAACAAGTAGCAAAAGCAGCAATCTCTTTAGTATTTAGCCTTGGATTTACCTGTTACTTTGAACCAGAAGTAATATATCAACATATTTTTATCACCTCACATAATACTAACCACTTCACTTACAGAGAAACCCTTCACCAAATCTTACAAATATGGCTATGACAGTAGATTAACTCAATGCATTGATAATGCAAATTACAATCAGTATGACCAATGGATTTAATGGTATTAATATCCCAGCACCACCTGCAGCAAGAAGTTCTATTGTAAAAGTCAACCCTTTTTATGAAAAAGATAGCGAAGACGCTCAAGAATGAATTAAAATGTTCTTAAGAGCAAAAGAAGCTAATGAATGGCCAAACAATAGAAGAGTAACAATTGCAGCAGGAATATTAAGGGAAGAAGCAGCTGACTGGTATAATCTAGTAAGCACTACAATTAACAGATGGGACGAAAATGCAAATACAGGATTTAGGGAAAGATTCTTAGCACGTTTCTCATCGCAAGAAAAATTATATAGATGACAATATGAACTAATGAATCTAAAACAAGGAAATGAAAAGGTTGAAACCTATGCATCTAGATTTAAGAAGCTAGCAAACAGAGTAGATGCAGGAGAAATTCCAGATGTCTTTAAAGTACGAATATTCTTGAGTGGATTGAATAAGGAATTGGCAACTTTAGTTGCAATTCAAACCCAGCTAATTTAGATACCACCATTACTCAAGCTAAAATTGTCAAAGCAGGAAGATATTATGCAACAGACCACGATTTTAGCAAGCCAAAAGTTGAAGATGATATTGAAAAATTGTCTAAACAATTCAAAAAAATAGCTCTGAACTAAGTAAACATTATGGCCGCATTGATTACTAATCCAGCTGAAAGAAAAAGCTACAATCCTGAAGGCAAACTAAAGAAGGAATTAATCTGTTTCAGATGTGAAGAAAAAGGTCATATAGCCAGACGATGCCTCTCAGAAAAAGATTTACCACAAGATAACTAGAGAATTAGAAATGGAGATCAAAATAGAAAGGAAGTAAATATGCTTGAACAAGAAGTCTTCCTAGCGATTAAGAGGAAAAGATCTGAATTGCAAAGAGAAACTAATACCAGACGAACTTGATCCCAAACAATTAATGAACCAATGGAAATAATTGAACAAATACCTAAACAGTAGTAGATAATACTACTAAGCCTAGAAAGAGAATACCTAGAGGACCATTACTTTTGGATAATATTGAACCTTATAACATTTGGGACGATCTTGTAAATATTAAAGCTAATGTTAATATGGGACAAATGATGCAATTCAGAGTGCAACAACAAAAACTCCTTCAAGGGATGAGAAGACCTAAATTAGAAGGAAATGCAACATTTACCAGCACTTCAGAAGAAGAAGAATGAACCATGACATTAAGATGTTATATTAAAATTAAGAAAAATCCTGTAACTGCTATCATCGATATAGGAGCAGCAGTAAGCATTATGACATACAAGTTAATGAAGAAACTTGGACTAGACATTGATGAACCCTCACAAATAATCATTGTTACTGCAAATGGACAGAGAGAAAGAACACTAGGAACTATTAAAAATGTGTTATTAATCATTCAAGGAATTCTTATCAAGACGACATTTCAAGTTATTGATTCAACTGATCAAACCTTATTACTAGGAATCGATTGATGCAAGAAAAACAAAGTTAATGTTGACTTTGAGAATAATGAAATGATCCTTACCTCTGGATTGGATAAAGCAATAGTCCCAGTACAATGTGTAGTTGAAAAGAGAATTTGAGCTGTAACCATTGAGGATGAACTTGACAAAATGATCAAACAAGGATTAGAATATAATGACGAAAAAGAAACAGATAGTTACATCATCAAAATTGAAGAATAAGAAGAAGATATTGAACTTTGGAATCATGCCTGGGAGAAAAACTCAACTCAATCTTGGGCTGATGAAGTAGAAGCATATGAAGAAGAAGTTAACCATCCCAAATACGTACTTAACATTCTGTACGATAAAGATGGTATATTTTTCTCAATCAGAAAAGGAGAAGTCATATATAGAATGTGGCAATCTCCTAGAGGAAAAGTAGAAGGGAATGAAAATCCAATGAAAGCAGCAGTATGAGAAACTGAAGAAGAAACTGGAATAAAAGTCAAAGAAGAAGACTTAGAATATTTATTCAATGACCTAGAATTTAATTGTAATGTATACGCAACAAAGATTCCTAAAGGAACTAGATTGAAACAAACTGAAGAAGACAAAAATGGACCTTGGATTTGTCTCAGTTTTCTAAAATATGAAGAGATAGCCAAACAAGAAAAAACTACCCAACTCATACAATATTTATTAATGAAATATTGGATCAAATCGTGTGAAATAACTTGCCTAATAGTCTTGCAGAAACTATGCAAGCAGAAACTGTAAAAGAAGAAGTTGTAACTTCAAAACAACAAAAGGAAATTGACATTCTGATGGAAGAAAATAAAGACAGATTCATCACTAACATCTCTGAAACTGGACAATCAACCAGAGTCAGAAGAACAAATGTAGTTTGACACAAAATTGATACAAGAAATGCCGACCCAATTAGGAGAAATTACTATCAAACGACAAAGGAGGAACAAAAATTTATTGATGAAGAAATTAAAAAGATGCTATGTGAAGGAATTATTCAAGCATCTGATAGTCTATGGGCATCACCTGCAATTCTTGTGAAGAAAGCAAATGGAAAGAAAAGACTATGCATCGATTATAGAGGACTTAACAAACTC